TTCTGTTGGTGGAGTCTTCCAGAACCCAACTTCTGGCTGCTTGCTACTTCTTCAGACACTTCCACATTGCTGGTCTCACTGATTACTCTGTACATCTGGACCAGGTCTCATGGGTTCAGGTCGGTCCACCTGCCAAAGGCATATGTACACCTGCATGCCTGGGGCCTGGCCTAAGATTAAAATTCTTAACTTCCAAAGAGGAAGAGTTTGTAATTAAATATCAAACAATTTAATAGAAAGGTGAACAAAGTATATGGAATTTTCCACATCAGAGATAGCATAAATGGCTGTTAGTTGTATGAAAAGATGTTCACCCAAACTGGAAGCTCAGGTTGTTGTAAATAAGACAAAAATGAAATGCATTTCCCTCCATCAGTTTGGCATCTATTTAAATATGTATGCTGATTGTCCAGGAACCTACGAAAAGGTAACTAAAACTTTACAGAAGAATCGCTGACTGAGCAACTTTGTTGAAGATAACAGTAATGTAGCAAACATTGTTAATTCCTATCATTTTGTTGTCATGTATCGTTTTTGTTGTTTTGTGTTGTTTTGATTTTGTCTTCATTGTTGTTTTGTTAGTTTTTTAAATTTTTAAAATAAAAAAACTGAAAAAATCGTAATTTCAGACCTCATAAAATTGGCACAAATAAATGTCCAAGGAATAAAAGCTAATAATCTACAATGAAAAGAGAAGAAAATAAAAACAGATCAGTAAAAAAGTATAATGTGTTTTTACAAAAAGAAAGAAAGAAAGAAAGAAAATGGAATCATAATTCAGTTGACTTCTTAAAGGGGCATTATCAGATGTGGGATAGAAAAACATCTCTATGTGCCCAACATGTTTAATAAAATAGAAGATAGGATAAAATTTATGAGAGCAAGAAGTTATAAAAAGAACAAGTGTATTTGAAAAAATATCAAGAATTTATAAAAATTAAAATAACTGAAAATGTCAGCTATATGACCAGATTTGATATAGCTGAAGAAAGATTTCAAACTGGAAATTATATCCAAAGAATTAATATGTAACAACACAGAGAGAGAAAGAGAAGGAAGCTAATAATAGCCAAAAATCATAAATAATGGAAGTAAAAATTCAAAAATATACCCAGTCGCAGAAAATGAAAGGAGGATGCAAAAGACAATATTTGAAAAAGAAAGGATTCAACATTTTCTTTGAACTAATGAGAGATATTAAAATGAATTTGGGGGTCCTGATTTTTTTTTAATTCTTTATATGTTCTATTAGAGGTCCTTTGTCTGAGGGGAAGTTGGCTAAAATTTAAACTGAAGATTTTTTACATAAATAAAATTCACATGTATATATCATTACAGTGACACTGCAGACCACTAAAGCTGAAGAATAATATTTGAAAAGAACAATCTCCAATTACAGTTGACATTTATTATTTGAGAATTCTCTATTGACAAGTTAACCTACTTGCTAATGTCTCTTAGGAACCTCCAAATATTTGAAGTGCCTTCCCAATAATCCAGGTCATGCATGAAGTGGAAAAATATTAGTTATGGACATACACATTCCCAGCTAAGGCTCAATGAGGCAACCCTGGTCTTCCAGTCTCAGCTCTTATACTTTAACCCTGCATCCTCCTTAGGCTATCTAATGCCACATCTCCCCCATTTTTGATGGGTTCTGCTGGTTGTTTTGATGTTTAAAATGTACCCTAACCCTAATCATAGTGTTAAAACACTGCTTGGTGTTCCTAATCACAAGAAAACTGTGATCACAAAACTGTGGCGCTGCCCATTGAGAAAATAACATGTTCCAATTCATTCAGGCATAAGTTATAGTGCTGTTAGCAGTGAGTTCAACATTAAGGAATCAATAGTATTAATAAAGGTGCCTTGCACCAGAAATGAACATCAGTTCAAATACTCTGATCACACATTCATAAAACCTTAGCCCGGTATTTCCTCTGAGGGCAGTGGTCCAATATTTACTAATTCAGCATTAACAGTGACTTTACTTAACATAGCTATTGCAAATAATGAGTACCAACTGCACCTAAAAAGGAATAAAATGGCAGCCGGAGAACAAAGAAATGATATATTCAACATGCTAAGAAAAAATAATCAGTCTAGAATTCTATACCACAGAAAATCATTCCCAAGAATGAGGGTTATATAAGGATTTTTTTTTCAGAGAATTTAAAAGTGAAAGTTTGCACTCTATACATTTTTACTTAAATAAATTCTAAAAATGTATTTCTAGGATAAGCAAATTTATTCAGATGGTAGAAGAAATGAACAGCAAGGAAAAGTGACAATACTAAATATGTAAAAATAATAATGTACGGTTATAAAAAGGTAGAACTACAATTTAACATAGCATGGTGGGTAAAATTTTAACTGCTCTTTATTTTCAAGGAAAATAAAATGCTGACTAAATTTACACACTCAAAATTAAGCTTGACTTGGGAGGCTGAGGCAGGAGGATCATTGCGAGTTTGAGGCCAGCCTGGGCTACAAAGTGAGCTCAAGGCCAGCCTGAACTGCACAGCGAGACCCTGTCTCAAAAAGACAAAAAAAAAAATTAAGCTTGAATACTTAAATATCTAGGACAATCAACAAAAACATGTTAATATAAGATGCGTAATTTTCAAAATTAAAAATAAAAAATTTTATTAATGTTAAAATACTATGTGAAAGGAAAGTAAAAGAAATGTAGAACCGGTGCAACAATCATAAAGCACAAAATAAGAGTCTGGAAATAACCCAAATATGTGAGTAATTACAAAAATAGAACTGTGCTAAAAATAATCCAATCAACAGACCAAGCTGATAGACTTGATTTTTAAAATCCAGCTATATGTTGTTGATAAGAAAATATCTGAAATATAATTATACAATAAATTTAAAATATAAGGATGGAAAAGGTATATCATATAAACACTAACGAAGTTCAGGAAAAGTATATTAAGATAAAATTTTCTAGGGAGAAAGAAGTTGTACATAGTGATGAATTAATTGATCAAAAAACACACAGTAGTTATGAGTTACTATGCACAAAATAACGTGACTTCATAATCTAAGGCAAGAATTGACTGAGCTATAAAAATAAAATAGAAACATTTCAACAAGGTTCCAAACATCGATATCATCTTGTCATCTTCTTTACTGCAATGCAATGAAGTAGGAAATGTGCGATTAAAGGAAACATTTAAAACCTTATCCATTTAAAAGATTCCAAATATTATTTAGTAATATTTTGCTCATGAAGAAGTAATGGATTTTAGAAAATACTTTGGAATACCAATGAACTAAGCATATAATTTCCGAAGTTAAAACCAAAAGTAACGCAGATAATCAATATAAGATTTTAGAAAATAAATATAATAGTAGGAAAATTCTAAGACGACCGCCAAGAATTCTGCAACCCTCTGTACAACTGTGCATATCCTTGTCCACAATATACTCCCTTCTTGTGGAGGCTGACCTAATTAGGTAAGCCCTTTCAAAGAGGGTAGGGAGGTTAGAGATACAAGTCTGAAAAGTTCAGAGCTTTAGCAGATGCTTTTTTGCTGACTTGGAGGAAAACAAATATTCATGAGTTCTACCACACATTCAAGGAACAAATAATTTCAATCAAGGAAAAACTATTCCTGAGCATAAAAAACCAGAATCTGGCAAAACTGCAATACCAATATCTAATAAGGTTAGGAAGTACAGTTATACCCTAATATCATCTATAAAATAAATGCAAATCTTTTGAGAACCCATTTAAAATGTAAAATAATAAATTCATCTTGAGGAAGTAGCATTTACCCAAGGAATATAAGATTGGTGCAATTGAAGAAAATTAATATTATTTATGACTAAAACAGGTTGAGAGGAAAAATCATACAACAATCTCAACAGATATAGGCACATACTAGGTAAAAATTCAGAGCCTTGTGCAGTGGTACACACCTGTATTCTCAGCACTCCGGGAGGTGGAGGCAGGAACATTTTAAGTTTGAGTCCAGCCTGTGAAATTTAGTAACTTAGCAACACTCTGTCTCAAAGTTAAAAATTAAAAAGGACTGGGGATGTAGATCAGTGCAAAGACCTTGGGTTCAATCACTAGTACCATAAAAAAAATTCAATGTGTATTTATAATTTTTTAAATGGCAATAGAAATCCTAGTAACAAAGCTCAAAAATCCTACAGAAATCACCCTCCCAGATGAAGAAATATTGAAAAGATTTTCTTTACAGCAAGGATATGACAAAAATGCTCAAAGTTATACTACCATTTAACCTAGCAAGACAAGGTACAGAGATAAGAAATATGAGGACTAGAAAGGCATTCTTAAATAACATGACCATTTGAACACACTACTGAAGTAAGTCTACTAACAGGTTATTACGAGTAATAAGAAAATTAAACAAGGTTGATACACAATGGAAACAAAAAATCAACTGTTACTATATAACAGCAAAGCAGCTAGAAAATGTAATTTAAATGACATCATTTAAAATAGAACTAAAATGTAGTGTGTTTAGGAATACCAACTTTAAAAAATATGTAAAAATCTTTATGGGAAAATCATAAAATTCTATTGAAAGACAAGGCTTAAATAGATGGACATATATACCGCATTCTTAGGTTGGATGGTTCAAATAATGAAAATATAAATTTTGCCAATTTTGATTTAATGATTCCAGTAAAAAAGTCAACCATCTTTTTGTTTGGGTTTTAATTTTTATGAAATGATTCAAAATTACCCTGGAAAAGCAAACAGCACAGAATAAATACCCAAGACTCTGTAGAAGGCTAAGAAAAAGCAGACTTGCCTTCCCAGACAAGGTAACACTATGCAAGCCACGTTGTACTGAGAGAAGCATGGACCAAAAGAAAAAGGAAATAAAAGAGCAGTCAGCGTACCAGCAGTCCACATGAAAAGTTGTTGTATGTCTGAATGGGCACTGCAGACCAGGCTAAGCAAGAGGGAACTCTGATTATCCTGATAGGAAAAATGACATAAGCAAAAGCAATTCTAGATGAAAGAATTTAATGTGAACAAAATACTACACAAATAAATTTGTAGATGAATGCATTTTTGACATCAAGAGTATTAAAATGGCACAGAAAATGCAAAGACTAATGGATATTACCATATACCACATTGTTATCTATTGAAAGATTATAAAGTAAAAAGATAACCTATAAACTATAAATCAACACAATTCACAGCCCATATAATTGACAAGGATGATGTCTCATTTATAAACCGAAAATTAAAGCCACAGCTCAGTATGAAAAGAGGCATAGAGACTAGAACAGGTATTTCACAAAAGAGTGAACATTATCAATAAACATGAACCAAGATTCAATCTCCTTAATGGAGAAACTTGAATAAAAATCACAAGATACCATTTCTCACAGATCACAATATTGGCAGTGAATAAACCTGACAATATAAAGTAAGATGAGGTTGCGAAGAAGCCAGAAATCTTACAAAATGCTAGAATTATGCAGTTTTATAACCACTTTGTAAAATTATTTGATATTATGTAGTAAAACTGAAAATAAACATATTCTATGTATCAGCACACCTACTTCTAAGTATTAACTATAGGAAAACTTTTGCTTGTATGCTCCAAAAGGTAAGTACAAGAATGTTTCTAGGAACACTATTTATAACAAAAAAAAAACATAAAGTATAAACAATCCAAGTGTACATAACAGAAAAATGGATGTTACATGTGACACATTTTTATAATGGCAAACTGTATATTGCAGTAAAAATAAATGAACTATGGCAGCTTATATTTACTTACATCAATCTCACAAAAAATGTGTTAGGCAGAAAAGCAAACCATTAGTTTAACTGTTACATATTTAGTAAAGTAACATTTATGCTTTGAATTAGTTAACTGATAATTATTCAGTAAATGTAAACTGTATAAACACACTGAGCTAACATTACACGTTTATATCTTTAAATGTATTCAGGAATAGAGTAACATAATGTACTGTATTACACTGTGAAGTTTTCTTGGATAGTTATCTATCTTCCTCAACTTTGTTTCCATGACATTTAGCGCAGATACTATACGTAATAGGTATTTCATTAGCCTGAGTTCCTCCAAGGCAGAGTGGTCTCTGGACAGTGATCCCAGGAAGCAGGAGAGAAGGAGGAGAAATCTGGAAATCTAGTACAAGAATATTGCATCAATATGGTCAATACAATTGGTGGGGCAGGGTCCTTTTGAACCACTGGAGAAGGCTTATGAATCACCCTCAGAAGCATTTACCCATTAGTTTCCATTCCCTATTTATCAGGGACATCCAGGGTTTTAACTTTCCTTACGTCTGGGTTACACGTGGCAGTGTAGATTCTGTCTGGTGATCAATTCCCAGAGTCAAACAAGCTTGAAGTCGGAAGTAAGAAAGACCGAGCATGAACTCCTAGGCCACGTGCTGCCAGGAAGCAGGTCAAGGCTTTCTTGTAACTGACTGCCAAGGAGCTGGCCACAAGATTATAATAAAGTGAAACAGAATTAAGATTTACTGAGGGTTTAACATATGGCAGCCACTTTATATATATTTTCCACTTAATCCTCATGACAATTTTAACATACTAGTTTTAGCTCCACCTTGTGTATTAAGAAAATTATGTTGAGAGGAAAAATAACTTTCCAAAGTCTCATAATGTGGCAGAGTATGGACTGGGACATAAATATATCTCAAAATTTTGAACTCTTTCTACCATACCATCAAGCCTACATTATTATATAGTTGAAAGTGCCTAGAAAGCAAATGCATTTCAGGAAAGAGGAATACAAAGCACGTAGGTGGGAAAAATAAAAAAGAAATATACTCAGAATTAGTACAATATAATGTAATTCATAGCTTGAATAGGGCTAATATAAGCAAACATGTCAAGAGAACTGGTACTACAATAGCTTTTGTGTTTGTAAAGAAATATTACCAAAGCCTAGAAATCAGTTCATTCTTTATTTCCTTTTCTCCCAATATTGGCAGTTGTTCAAACTGTATGACTAATATGCTGGTAAAAATAGACCTAATAATGCAAAATGTTAAATTTGGAACTTGTACACATCCTTTAAATCACTCAGCAATAAGCTATGTACACTTGATACAGTTACTAATAAGGCGTCAAATAACTGACAAAATAACTGGTATTTCTAGCTAGTTTCAAAATCAAAACCCAAAAGAAGCTAAAGAAATGGAAAAAAAAATCAGAGTGGAACTCAGTGAAATACAAATCAAAAAACAGTAAAGTTAGTGAAGGCAAAAACTAATTTGATATCAACAAAAATGGAAACCTAGAGAAACTCATGTGAGAAGGGGAGCACAAATTATTAGTATCAGGAATGTAAAAACTGACATCACTACCAGTCCACAGGCACTAACGGGATAATAACGGGCCATTATGAATAACTGGTATGCAACTACCAAAGCTCACTCAAGAAGAAATAAATCATTTAAATTCCTCTTTATTTATTTATTAAAAAATTGAATTTGCACTTTGAAAAGCTTTCCTCCAAAGAAAACTCCACGCCTAGATGGCTTCATTGATGAATTATGCTAAATAATTAAAGAAGAAATTTAATATAAACTCTTACACAGACTTCCAGAAAAGTAAAGAGGAGGGAATATTTCCTAGAGGCCATTTTAGGGGACAGCATTATTCTGATATCAAAACCTAAAAAAATAAAATAAAAACTACAGGCCAAATCATTCATGAACACAGATGCAAAATTCCTAAACAAAATTTTAAGAAATCAAATCCACAATAATTAGGATTACATCTCATGACTTACTGAATCAAGGTGGGAGATACCCAAAGAATATAAGACTGATTTAACAACTGTGTTAGAAAAATAGAAAACTTAAAACCATAGGATCATCTATCTTTCATACTGGGTATATATCTCAGTGTACTAGTAATAGATAAGAACTTCCTTGATATGTAAAAGGACATCTTATAGAAATGTATACCTAATTAGTTACTGGTGAAAGGTTAAATATTTTTCCTTATAACCAGGAACACTACAAAAATGTTAATTCTCACAGCTTTTATTCAACATTGTTCTACAGGCTTAGCTAATTGTCATAAGGTAATACAGTAGATTAGTACTCCAAAATAAAGAGAAATTAAATACTGACCCTTAAAACATGGATAAATATCAGAATAATTATGATGAGTCAAAAAAGAGCTGGGTAAAAAAGTAACTGCTACATAAATCCATTTGTATAAACTCTAGAAAACACAAACTAGTCCTTAGTAATATTAAGCACATCAGTGGTTTCCTTGGATTCAATGAAGAATGAGAAGAAGGGATCATAAAAGAGAACATAGAGAACTTCTATGGGTGATCAATGTTCATTATCTTGCTTGTGATGACAGTTTCATAGGTACATGTATCTTTTAAGTTTGTAAAATTGTATTATTTGAAAATGTAGAATTTATATCAATTATACCACAATAAACAAATGTTTATAGTTAAATAAAATTCAGCTAGCTGATTTCTCCTCCCTTCATCTACAGAATATTTGTTCTTTTCCCACCACTCTACAAGGATGAAAACATCCATAGATCTTGACTCTTGGGAAAGAATCATCACTTTTTGGAATGAGTTCATTGAGGTCTCCTTGTATCTTCAGTTTTCTGGTTTTTTTACTTTTCTTTTTTTTTTTTTTTTTTTGCTTATCTTTTCTCATCGTTAGGATGGAAATGATGCTCTCTTGCAACTTTATATACAAGCTAGAAGAACTTCCTTTTCAAGATTCCTGCTGTTTTTAGGATAAAAACTAACAAATTACTCAAAAGATATAAAATTTTTCTTAATATGAAAGCCAGGCCAAATTTTCCCCTAAGGGTCTCTGTAACAAGGATCCTATGGGGGAAAAAAAGCACCTTAAATATTCCTGGCAGAAGCAGCAATAAATGCTAGGTTATTTCACATTATTCAACATATATGAAGACCTGGATTCAAAGCACAATTCAGACTGAGCTGATCTGCAGGAAACCAGAATGATGAGTGGATTCTAAAGATCCCACAGTCTGCCAACTCAATTTGTAGCCGAGATGGCTTAGGGATGTTCCTTGTATATAGAACAGAGCTGGGTTTTGTCTAAAGAGCCAGGTTGAAAATAATTTTCTTGTTTTTTAATTGACCCACAATCATTGTACATATTTGTGAGGCAGAATGTGATGGTTCAGTCGTGTATACCTTATATCATCACCAAGTTAGGTATTCATAACTTCATATATTAACCACTTTTTGGGGTGAAAACATTCCAAGCGGTCTTTTAAAAATATTCCATGGAATATTGTCAACCCTAGCCATCCTATTGTGCAGTAGAACACCAAAACTTATTTCTCCTAGCTAATTGCAACTTTGTACCCATTGGCAAGTCCCTTCTTGTCCTCCCCTTACTCCTGTCCTCCCCTCACCTGTCTGTAATATTCCACTCTCCACTTCTACGAGATCAGCTCCTGTAGGTTCCACATATGAAATCATAGAGTATTTGTCTTTCTGCACCGACCTAATTTTAGTTAACATAATGTCCTCTAGGTTCAGCCATGATACTGACAAGGACTTCATTCTTTTTCATGGCTGTACAGAATTAAATCATGTATCTATATTGATAGCTCACATTTTCTTTACCCACCTGTCCCTTGAAGAACAGTTAGATTGATTCCATATCCTGGCTATTGTGAACAATACTGAAACAAACATGAGACTACAATGACTCTGCGACACTGAAAATCATTTTCTTTTGAAAGGTGAGTTAAACCAACTCGAATTTATACGTCTGATTTGTTTGTTCTTGGGTTCACCATATAGTTTTGTGTGTATTATACTTACTTTGCTTTTTTCTTTATTTGGTATCTTATTTTATTTTCAAAACAGTTATTCTGATGTTTAGGAAGATTTTTATTTTTATTCTAGTAGGAGCTCTGTAATTTGTCATAGTTCTATGAATCTTTTTTTCTAATTTAATCTTATCATTTTGTCAATTTATATGAAAGAATGTTTTTTCTCTTTATTTCTCCTTTCATTTTAATTGCATCATTTCATCAAACCCTATTACCTTTATACATTATTTTTTTCACCATCATTATCTTTGTATTAATATTAGCTCTATATTTAAGTATATTAAATTCCCATTATCTTGTACCAAAGCTATATTTTGGTTGGATAAGCTCACCCTTAGCAGATTTTCCCAAAAGTATGTTTTATTTGAGGTGCTGGAGATTCAAAGCTGACTTTTAAAAAATAATACCTGAAAAACATCTTAGCAGTATTTTAAAAAATCTTTGCCTTGTCTTTTATTTCCATGAATTTCTTTAAAAAACCTTGTTCCAATATTGCCTTCCTTTGTGGCTACTCTTGAGAAATGCAGTGCCAGCCTGATTCTCTTACTTTTATAGCTAATGTGACCTTTTTACCTGTAGGCCCTGAGGACTTTTCTTTATTTTACTTAGATGTGTATCACAGTTGATCTTTTCAGGTCAAATTCGGGGTACCTGGTCATTCCTTTAAGTAAATAAACTTAAACGTTCTCTTATTTGCAGAAAGATTCTTATATTTAGTCAAAAATATTAATTCCATTCCATTATTTTGTCATGCTGTCCTCAGAAACTCCATTACATATGCACTGGATCTTTCTGTGTGCCTGACAGTTACTTAGTAATTTTCTGCTGACCCTTTCTACTGTTTTGGGTCTCATTTCACTTTCATTGTTGATTCTGGAGGAAGAATACTCATTACTTTAGGTTTGTACTTTTATCCTCTTTTTTTACAGTAGCTTTGAGTAAGATTGACTTGATTTTTTTCTAACCCTAGCGACCTTCTAGATAGGGCTCTTGTCTTTCTCTATGTTGGTAGGAAGATAGGTATTGGTGTATCTTCTTCCTTTTCTGTTTTTCTCACCTTTGGTATCAGATATCTCCCATACATCCACAGTTTCCCATGAGTGGTCAACTGGACGTGTGTTCTCTCTGGCAGTTACATTGATTATGGAGAGCTCTCCAGAGGACGTCTTTACATAGTTTGGCCTGATTTTATCTTTAGAGTCCTAACAGTGAGCTGAGATCAGTAACAGCCACAGTCTGCCAAGATATGCCTCAGACTCCAAATCTAGTCCAAGAACATGTTGGCGTCTATTACAAAGCTGATTCTGTGGGACAAGCTCTTTGTTCAGTGAAATAATATTCAAACTGAAAAGTGAAGTAAGAGTCCAAAGGTTAGCTAAGTATGCACATACCAGCCGTCCCATTCAAATTTCAGATAACAAACTCTGACGCTGATATGAATTAAACCTGTGTAGTGTGTGTCACACATAGGACCCATGCAAATCCCAGATTGTTGCACTAGTTGTAAAATTTTGGAAAATTTAAGCAACTTCTATGAATCTTAGTTTATTTTTTGTTAAATGTAAGTGACAATACTTCTCATATAATTTTTGTAAGCATCACATAGAAAAAATATATGCAAAATGAAATGTATTTAACAAAATGTTTAACAAAATGAGGGTCCACTATTATTTACTATTATTATTGTTTCCAGTGAGTGTAGTTGAATTAATTTATTAATTAATAAAGTTTGACTTTATTAATTACCAAAGTAGGTTTCCTTATTGAGCTCCTCTAGGTATCAAACATTTGTGGTTTATAAGTGTGAATCTGTATTTCTGTTTTTTATTTCTAGTAACTTGAAAATAAGAAGTAAGCAGTCCAGTTTTACAAATAAACTAAAGTTTACAGTTTAAGTCACCTTGCCCTCGGTTATGTTTACTTAGTGATAACAGAAATAATATTCATAACAAGATTCATTTGACTCTAAAGCCTATAATACTGTCTTAACTCATAAAATTTTTGCACTGACTGCTTCCTCCTTATTCCTACAGCATTAATATTCAGTAACGTATAATGCCATGTTTTATTTCATCTTATTTGCTGCTTTCTGAGTTTTTGCCTTAATTCTCCAGCAGAACTACAGTGTGTTCTTTAAAAGATGTAATTATTCTGGAGTTTGTTAGTTTGTTTTTAACCTCATTGTATTTATCCTTCCTCAAAATAGTACTAGATTCAAGTTCTCAGTAAATGCTTATCAAGTTGATAAAAATCAACTTGAATGGTTTATTCTTATCTCAAAGAAGATACAGTTGCTGATTTATCCAGCTGTGTTAAATCATCTATATCCAAATGAACATGTTTTAAAAGCCCAAGACAAACATTATAAAGGGAATATGAGAAATGCAAAAGAATTTTAATTTAAAAAGGGAATCAAAATATGAAAAACATCAGACTTACTTGGTTTTCTAAATTTTTAAAAACAACTTGGAGTTATTTGAGTTTTAAGTTTGCAGAATAATCTAAGTACATGGATTTTGGAGGAAAATTTTCTGTTACTAGAAAAATATTTTTCTTATAAATCCCAACAAGGCTTGAACTATTCCAAGACATCTGACTCATTGGTCACTCCCCCTGTTGCCTCAGACTGTGCTCTAGAGTTTTCTCTTAGGATCGTATCACATTTTGAATCACTACCCACACTCCCACATAATCACAAGGTTCTGTGACCCAAGTGCCGTATCCGGGCAACAAGTTACTACCTCTTAATAGATACTAGATGCACAGATTTTAAAATATAAACCTCGGCTGGGCACGGTAACAAATGCTAATGATCACAGCTAGTCAGGAGAATGAGACAGGAAATGTTAAGATTTCTGTGTCAGACTGGGAAACAGTCTGACTCTGTCTGAAAACAATTAAAATTAAAAATAAATTCAAGGAATGCTAGTTATCTACAGAGAATAGGCTTTTATCAGTAGGTCCATTAACAAAATTTTATCCAAATAACAGCAGCTGGGCTAACTGATGAGGGCCAAAGACACACACAAAGGCCAAAGACATGGTCCCTGCTCTCAAGGAGACAAACAGATAGTTAAGTGTGCTGACAATTACAGACACTATGATTTATAAATGTAGAGAATACAAGGGACACAGATGGAAGAACGTTTAAGTCAAGGTGGTGAATTATAAAAGGCTTTGCAGACAAGATTATATGTGAGGTACTTCTAGAAAACAAATAGTATTGAAAAGAGAAAGCACAGGTAGCCCGCACACAATCGCAATTTATGTCAGGTCTCCTAGCCCACTGATCTCTGTTGCCCAGGCATTTCAGGAGACCTGAGTGCTATTCACCACTCATTCCATTCCCACACGCTCCAAACACTTGCTCCAGCTCAACCTGCCTAAAATTCTCTCTGCAATTTCATGTTGTGTTTCTTTCAAGGCCCCTTTTGCTCCAATATTTCCTGTGGCCTTTAATATGTCTCACAGGATAATCTCATTAGAAATTAGACAACGATACCTCCATTCTTCAAAGGCCAATTTAGATTTGACCTCTTTTAGGAATCAATCTAAAGCTACTTATAAAGGAAGAAAATGGCCTTGTAGGAATTCAAGTGGAAAGTCAAAATGCTGATTATGATGTGTCATTGTTAGATGGTGCCAGTCTTGAAGGAATACTTCTCTTCTTCACTTCTCTTCAATTGTGTCACTCCAGAGCAGGTAACACATCACCCTACAGTACAGAATGAAACTGCTATAAGCATTCATAAAATGTAACCGGCATTGAATCAAATTAGATGAACAGACTTTTTGTGCCTTAGTCCATCACCTATAAAATGAAAATAATCCTTGTCTCTTTCTTACAAAGAACTAATGAGTAGGCCATTCTATCCCTGAAATCTAAGGCAGAAACAGCCATGTCTTAGAACCTTAGCACATTAATGCTGAATGAATAAAGAAGCTAACTTGTGGGACATCTGAAATGAGGTATTATATGTAAGGTTTTTAGAACTCAAAAAATACCTAGAGTTCTAATGAAAAATAGCCTTCATAGTAACTTATCTTTCAGTGAAACATTCCTACAGCTTTAAGGTTGTATATTACTAGTATTTCCTTACGAGTTGTGCTTTTTGTGATGTAAGCTACCCTCAACTTCAGAATGTTTAACATCTTACCCCATCTTAAAACTTTAAAGTAATTCTAAGATACTCAGGGAAGACAACTTCTAGAGCTGCTTCAGAAAGTGGTAAAAATGATGGGATGAGTGTGTTCAACGATGTGTGTGAGTAGGTGTATTTTGATGCAGACTAATGGTAACATGTCTTCCTGGAATAAATTTTTAAAAATTTAAACATTCATGTTATTTTTTTATCTCACCCTGTACTTGCACTGTATCACTTGTTCTCTTGTTTCCTCCAACTGCCTTGAGAACAGACCTGTTAAAGAAAGGAAGACCACATGAAATAGCTAAGCTGCAACCTGTTCCAGCTCAGGAGATCATAAGCCAGATAGTTTGGCCAACTATACAGTATGAGCAAAAGTAACTATGCATAGTAAATCCTCTATCCCACTGGCAAATCTTTCCCATCCAGAGATCTCATTTTCCTCAGAAGGCCCACTTGTGGTCACTAAAGCCATGCCTCATGTCAGCATCCCCTGCGGCTCCCATCTTAATGCAATATCGTAGTTCCCCCAACCAAGAGCCTCCTACTTATACCTACTTACAAAGTCTTGTAGTACATTTTTAAAAGTTCTTAAGTTAGTTAGTTTTCTTTGTTGAAAAAATTTTTTAACACTTCTGCCAGGTCTGGAATTCACATAAGAAAAATCTTCCCTTAGAACATCTGTCTCTGAGCATTGATTCTTCCATGACTTTTCTGGGAAGTTCTTGGTTTAATTTAAAAATAAATGGTCAAATAAAATAATACCCACTGTCAAGAAAAGAACCTAATGTACTAATATTTGTGCTAATATTTTCAAGCTATCACAAAGCATATTTTCTAAATACTCGAATTTAGTAAGAGAATTCACACAAATTTATTTCTAAAGGTAAAATTCTGATGTGGATAACAAAAGGAGGTAGATTAAAAAATCTAACGCTTTCAATTTTCAAACCAACAACCTAAGTGCTGGTAATGTTTTCTAACAATGACTAAATGAACATTATAATGACCAAAATAGCTACTATTTATTATGATATGTTAAGAACAGTAAGGACTTGACATACATTATCTCAATGTTTCAGCAATCCTAAAACATAAATATTGTTCTCTTTTTTACAGACAATGCCACTGGCACATAAGAAGATTAAATTGCTTATCCATGGTCACAAAGCCAACAGTGAAGCCTGGCTTTAAATAGAAGTATGACTCCAAAAAGTCATGTTCCTAACCACTATACTCTACATTAAAACAAATACGCAAACCGAAACCATTGTAATAATCATTAAAATTCACAGACTCCTTTGCCATGTATTATCTTATTTGACTCTCATATAACCCTCACAGCTCCCATCTTATAGATGAGTGTTTTAAGGCTCATACTAGGAAAGTGTGTATTTCCAAAGTCACAAAGTTTGTATGCAATAGAGTTCCAAGCCTTTAGGTCCCAAATTCCCTTCTCTTCCAGCAGGACAAACCACTAGATACTTTGTGTTGAGGAATATGGGGAACTATGAGGCAGAATCCTCCTAAAGCATTAGGGATGGAGACCATGAGTACAGAGATTTCTCCCTGAGCCTTGGCCGAGACAAGCAGCTGTGGGAGCCACTTTTCAGGAACCACTTTAGAGGCAGCTAAGACCTCTCTGAGGGAGGAGGAGTAGGACGACACTCTGAGGTTCATGAAATTAATGGAAGGACCATATGAGAGAAGAAAACAGAGATGATTCTGGAAAGGAAAAGGGGAAGGTGAAATATCCAACCCAGTCCCGAAGCATCTTTCCCTCGGGGCACAGGGGTGAGGGCAGGTTTAAGGAGCAAGGCAGCGATTGACCCAGAGTAACAGTAAGGACTAAGACAGGAGCATGAAGGGCTCAAGGCAGCCAAATCCATGTGCACAGATGGTCTGACCTGGGCAACTGCAGTTTAATGTCTAATCCAGACGGTACAAATGTTATCAAAATTGATACCCAGGAAATTGGTTAAAATAATTTTCCCTTACCTTGAAAGTATATCTTCACATGGAAATAGCCTTGGTACTGGTATTTGTATGAGAAACTGCCTTAATTTTTAGAGTCTGATGTGTATTCAGAAAACCACTTAAATTTAAGGAAGTACCCTCAGCCACGACACTCACCCTCTGTCATTACCTCCGTGGTCAGCGAAGGAAGAAGAACTAAGAATGACACCACTGGAAGGTGGGAGAGAAAGGCGTGCCCTCCTGGGAACAGAGTGTTACAGAGCGATGACACCTTCCCCCAGCACAGAAGCAACAACTGAACGCATCACTTTAACCACCTTTGGCTTCTGGATGCAAATGCAGCCTGTGAGGAGCATTTCCAGGCACCCGGCTCACAGGCTGACCATAAAGCTGGGTCGAGCGCCTGCTGTGTGGATATTGGAGACAACTGCTAAATCATTGGCTACCTCCTACAGTGGCAGAGAGGCAGGCGAGGCTCGGCGCTCAGCTGTCAAGCACAGCGGCAGAGGTCAGCACGGGATCTCCCCAGGGCCGGGGCCAGGAGTGGCTGGTGACAGGTGCAGCCTGGCCATCCCTGAGCGGTCCTCTGCACGCACTGCTGGGAGGCGGGTGCGGGGTGCCCCACACAAGGACTCGATGGGAGGGAGGCACCTTCCCAGGTCCTCAAAAAGGAACTGCCCAGCTTCCCGAGCGTCCACCCCACCAGGGCCTCTTCAGGCCTCCTTCTTCCTCAGAACTGGGCTCATCAGACTCCAGAACAGCTGCTCAGCCCCCTTGAGATACAAAAGGTCTGAATGAACACAATGAGAAATGCCTATTTCCACACAAGAATTCACAGCAAGCATGATTTCCACTGCATGATTAAATTCAAGAATATAAATATCCCCAGCCTCATAAATAAATAGGTTTAGGGGTTTAAAATGTCAACATGACTTTTGACTTCTCTGCCTCCACCTAACTTTACACCTACCTATGTTTTGAAAAAGTAAGGAAAAGCCTTTCATGAATATCCTATATTCCAATTCATTAGGTCTATTAATTTGCTGGGTTTTTTCTCATCAGTGAAATTCACTTGATATTGAGCTTTCCCTAGCAGTTTCCTGTAATTAAGGGTCTCTGGAACTCAGAATATATCAAATGTAATTGGTCCTAGAGTGAAAGACAAGTTATAAGAACGTTGCTTTTGTTTAAAATGGATTTAAATTCAAAATGTCCCTAAAATACTAGTTCTCTGAAATAAGTACTGGGCATGGTGGTGCATGCCTGTAATTCCAGCACTTCTAAGGCTCAGGCGGGAAGACTGCCAAGAGTTTGAGGCCCAGCCTGGGCTACACAGAGAGTTTAAGGCCAGCCTGTCCTACATAGTGAAGCCCTGTCTCAAAAAAAAACAAAAATAAACAAACAAGTGAAGGAGTTTACAATGGAAAAGCAATCATATGCTAAAAATAATGAACAGAAACATTCAACCTTAACAAATTTCTGAAGGCCTTTAGAAGCTTCTAGAAATTTCGTAGTTTGATATTGCCAGTTCACTCACAAGCACTGACTGCAGAAGCAGGTTCCAATGACCAAGATGGCCATTTAAAACAAAAGGTTAAGATCTCTGTGGTAACAAAGCCTTTGAGCAACAGCTTGAAGGAAATAAGTTAGCCAAGCTAAGTTCTGGAAGAAAATAGTTCACACAGAGAGAACTGCAAATACAAGGGCCCTAGGGTAGGCTTCGTGAAGGAACACTCAGGCAAACACTGAGATCAAAACTGAGTCAAAGGGGAACAGCTATTGGAAATGATGGTGGTTAGGCTGCCCTGGTGTCAAGGTCATAACAGGTCTCACAGACTCATGGTACAGACTTCAATCTTCAGTGAATGAGAGGAGAGGCCAATGCAGGTTTGCAAAGGAATGGCATAATCATATTTAAATATTAAAAAGACCACTCTAGTTAGTAAGTAAAGAAAAATATATAAGGCCAAGAGTGGATGAAGGGAGGCAAGTTAGGAGGCTGTTACACCAACCCAGGTGAGAGACACTGGTAGCCGGGCCAGGGTGGAATGAGCGGAGCTGGTTATGAAGGGGTCAGGTTCTTACAGTATCTTGAAACTGAAGAGGACAGGAACTGATGATCAATTAGCTGGAATATATGAGAGTGGGACAGAAGCAAGGATGACGCAAAGTTTTCTGGCTTGTAAACAAATGTATTTGCCATTTACTAAAAGGAAGGGAGAGGAATCCTGAGGGAGAAGAATCAACAGCAGCTTTTGTCTTATCCCACAGCCCTTCCTTTAACCCAGGGTCTTTCTTCACAGTATTTTAATTGGCCGCTAAACTCCACGCACAGCTGCTTCTCCTTGGACAGACCCCATCTTTCTCTAAAATCTCCCATTTCACAATTGTTCTGAATATTCTTCATATTCCAATTATGCATACAAATTGCCAAATATTGCTTTTAGAAGTTGGTATCATAAAACATTAGAATGACTCTTTATCTTGAATGCCAGCCATTGAAGCATCACTGCTCTTATCTGAGCAAGTAATCCCTGTTTTCTATGCGGAGAGAGGAGAGACCTTTAAGCCTCTCTAGGCAAGAAATCTCGCCCCTGCCGAGGTCAAGCTGAAAATAGAGGCTCCAAGACACTTGCTTCAAAACATGACTTAGACGTCGCTACCCTCTCCTCATCCCACCTCCTGGTGTCACTGCTTATTCACGTCACATCCAGCACTTGTTTGTCAAAATGGTGAAACTGAACAGTGTGAGGTGTCACGTAGTGCATTACTAACAACATAGATATGCTTGAAAATTACTTATTTTTTAAAAAACATACTGGAGCAAAGTAAAATATGTCCCTATATTATTGTCACTTTTCCTTGCTTTCTGGAAAAAGAATGAGATGAACTATTGCTTGTGTGCTTGGGCATCCTCATAAGACTGACCACTCAGGTGAACGGCATCCATTTCTATGACCCAGTAGGACAGAAAAAGATTGAGGGCTGCTTGCTTAGCTATCCAAAAACAGCACTGTCGAGACATCTGCAAGAGATAGAGGGCATCATCTTGCCCGTGCAAAACTTACAGTTTCGTTAAGGACTCCAGATGTAAAGAAACAAAGGCTAATTTAATGCTAGCATTTTCTACACCATGGGTATAAGTTTATAGTCTTGCCATACTTTTTCCCCTGATTAATCTTCTTTCTCGTTATCTTCCTCCCCCTGCGTCATCTCACACCCAGGAGCAGTGGCTGTCATCAAAGGTATTGATTTCTGCCTGGAGCAGGCAGGAAGTGGAACACAGTAGCCTGAGA